TTATTTTCTCAAAAATAATAACTGTTAAACGGTTAGTAATATTGATTATTTCCGATTTTTAAAAGCCCTTAAAGGTGCGTTTTTCTTTAGGTGTTTTTAAAAAGTACTTAATTTTACTTACCTGATCCCTTGGGCGCTGAACCCATGTTCGAGAGTCCGTGGGGTTCGAACCCGCCCGGCCGAAGATGAAGAGGGTATAGTTAAATAGTAACTGATGCGCGTTAAATCTGTCGAGTCGCAAAGTCCTCCCTGTTCCAATAACAAATCAATACCTCTGGGGGTACTGGATTGGAGATTGATCGTTATCTGATTAAGGTCAAAATTACGATCTGTGGATGTATGAATGGGTCCACTCTATAAACGGGCGTGACGTATGGATGTGGCAGAAGTCGAATTCTTGGCCACAGATGGCGCCACTGGAAAACAAGAACATTCGCCCCCTCTGCCTCAACAGGCATACGTCGACAACAATTGAGTGTTACTTATTAATCAAACAATGGATCATTTTTTTCCCCTGATTAATAATAATATAAGTGGATTATTGATTTTCAAGGTAGGAGGAAGTCAAAATCTTAAATAGTTATTAGAAATAGTAAAGTGAAAGTTTAAACCCTTAAATGTTATTATTACTTTTTACTCTCATATCTATACGATCAAAGAATTATAAATATTCTTGAAATCACATTGTAAATATTCTTATTCAATGGGATTGAAAATACTAGTCTGTTAAAATTGTTTTGCTGAAAAACTTGTCCGACTGATTTTATTACTGATTATATACTTGAAAATTACATAGTTTGAAATTTATGAAAAAGTTTTCACACCTCGCAATAATAAACCTTTTTGATCATTGTCCTTAATTTGACCTTAAAAATAAAAATCAGTACTAAAAATATTCTGTGCTTCCGATCTTCAAAATTACCTTCAGATAAAGGAATTATATAATAGTGTGCTACATTGCTTTTTGTTTCCGTTTTCAGAGCTATGTTTGGCGATTTAATTATTCTGTCTATATTAGTTGCACAAAAATTAACATTCTTTAGCTCAAACCTTTAAGCACTTTCTTCATCAAACAAGTGAGAGGTTTAAAAACTATTTTAGAATACATAAATTTAATTTAAAAAAGTAAATTTATTTGTCTGTAATTTATTTTGAAATGTTATCTTCACCCATTAGTTAGCATATTTAAGGTCTAAATCTCGAACAATTAAGATCGTATCTTAGAGTTGAAATTTACCGTATTGCATTACAATGTTAACCAATTGATACAAGAACGTAAACAAGTGCAAACCGGTTTCGGCAGCTTAAAAACAATAAAGTTGCATAGTGCCACCTGATAATTAAAATTTCACATGGAATCTTTTAGTGCGTCTGATAATTTGCCCAGGGACTAGATACTAGTTGCTAGGGTTGCTTTGTTGTTATTTTTAAGAACTTTTCAAGTACAAAATGTTACTAACTGTAGTTTAAAATATGATTTAAAAAAATAATCTATAACTGTAACCATTAGAAAAGAACAATTACTTGCGGTATACCATGCATATTTCAGATTCTAAGCCTAAGTTTTATTCTACAAAATACGTAAACCATTCCCCTTATTCATGAAATAAGTTATTTCAAAGATTCTTCTCTAGAAACTAAGACTTAAATATAGTATGAGACATGTGATTGACATCCATCCTCTTATAAAGCTCTTTAAGATTGCCAGATTCCCAAAGTATGGAACACCACAAATGAAGGTGACAGAATCGATCTTGACTCAATTATCGACATAATTTCGGAAACTTTCTCTATGACGGAATGGCAGCAGGGACTACTTACTCTCTGTGGCAACAAGTTCTAAATGGTTTTGTCCACAGGGAAATGAATTCCTGGAATAATATATCGACCCGCAAAACCTTTTGCGTGGAATATAACTCTTAACAGATACATAAAACTATCCGCCGAGAATTCTCATTTTGCTCTTATGAATTAATGTATGCTTTCATGTAAACGTAGTGGCGATTATGTGGCGAACGATAATGCGAGCTAGCAGGAGAGCCTTCTTCTTTTATTAATGAGAAGTTTTATTTTTGTTTGGAGGTGTTTGGCATCATTTTTATTCCGAAACATGCAGCCATATTTGATGTTTTTAACGTTACCGAATAAAGATTGATAACGGTAGGTGGAAAAAAAATCAGGTTTTGGGAGCAGTTTTTTAAAAAAAAATAAATTTCTTTTGTTATTATTTTGCATGAAGTTAAATACAATGAATCAAAAATGACTACAATTATAAGTCATTTGTTCTATAATTAATAGTGATATTTACCACAATACTCAAATAAATTTTCTAAATTTCGAAGACGAACTTGCAATTATTGAAATTCAAATTTCTTCCTGGTATTGTATTTGTCTAATTTTCAAGATTTTTTTTTTCAATCCAAATGAAGACAATATGTACCAAAGGGATTGATTTTCGGATAATAATTTGGAATATTTTTTCCTAAAATCAGTGTTTAAATTGAAGATTTTCAAAGCTCAAATGCTGAAATTAATAGCGCTAGGGCATTTATGGAATCGTATAGTGGACAATTTAGTGTAACCTAGACGGATCATGGTTTAGAGTTCCATTGCAGTCAGGCTAACCGTGAGATGTTTTCGTGGTTTTTCGCTCCATGTAGCGCGTATGCGGGTTAGTTCTATCGAAAAGTCCTCTTCGAAGCCCAAAATTTCGCATAATATTTGATCCAGGTGTTCCCTTTTTTCAGGATTGGGTTTGAAATTACAAGACTACAGAATTGAACATTGGTAGACGTAAACCCAAAATTGGGTCTGCTGTTCAGCAACGGTTATGAAATTAACATAAAATCAAAGGTTTCAGTTTTCTTCTTCTAAAACCATTCAACACTGCATTTCATCCTAACTTGATTTTTGGGAATCTCTCCACATTTTGAAAAATTCTAATAATTTAGTTAATGATCTTTCTGGTATCCCACTTTTTCCCAATGTTTGGATATATATTCTAATTTAATCTTCCCTGGAGAGTTTCTGCCAAACCCCACTCACATCTGTTTCTTATCACCCTTCTTTTTATCATCTTGTTCGAGCTTGTTCCTATACTCTGATTGGTTAAACCACTTTGCTGGTGTTTATGTCTTTACTTTTCTAATATCACATGGTATTTTGGACACTATAGAAGGTTTTTGTTTAGCAGACCGATGCTACTGTATGTCCATTTCTATACTTGATTTGTATTTTATTCATGTTGCTTTTCTCTTCAGTCTACGTAATGCAAAACCTACCTTATCCTTTAGGATTTAAGAAGAGCAATTAAAGTATGCCTAGCACAAAGTATCCCTAGGAAAGGAATAACTTGTGATGCTAGTTATAAAGCTAATATAATATTAATACAATAATTAAGCTAATACACTATTAAAAGAACACAAATAAAGGCAAAAAATTATCCAATTTCTTTTCTTCTTAATATCATAAGGAACATTTTTTGCTACAATTTAAAAACAGCTTTGCTAGAATCACTTGATAATTTTTTTGAAGTTATAACCTAACCTTTTTTTGAAATCTTATTTGTCTTTTAATTTCTCTAACGGATTATTTATGATTAACCACTAAATTTTCTTCCTAGTCATAAACATGCTATTCAAACATAAAAACGTAAATTTTCTTGGAAATTTATTTAGCATATAATGTTATGCGTTGAAAGAGTTCGAACGGTGAAATTAGAAATATTATGAATCTTTGAATGTAGTTTCGATCTTTTCAATTTATACAATTTATAAAACGATTCTTTTAACCAGTTAAGCGCACTTGACGTACAATTCAGGGATGATTATATTCCGGGTGTATCCCGGAATTCAGGGGGTTCCTTATCATCCTTCTATGTTTAGAAAGTAACCGCAGGGCATGTCAATTTTCTGCGAATTTCCGCCCAAAATTCCGATTATTTGAAGACTGTTGATTCACTCGCTTTGAAACTAATCAAACAAATGAAGACGAAATTCGAGGAAATTTTCACAGAGCTTTGCAATTTAAAATTAAATTTCGCCAAATCCATCTTTCGATTCTTGTAAGAACTAATGTTTTCTTTCTTAAATGAGGTTCTATAAAAGTGTGATGTTCTTCATGGGTAGGTAATTTAATTACAAATCTTAGTTCAAAAACATGCTGAGTCAATAAATTGATATCGAGTTTTTGCGCATTAAATTTTTAGGGTTTCTCACTGTGGGTCCCGATCACCTCTGGTACATACACGTCGGTCCAAATCCCTATTGGGGTACATATGACGTATAAACTCGTCAAGTAAAGTGGAAAATTACTGTTCACCATCAAAATTCGAAATTTCAAATGAATATTATTTGGTTGTATGCCTTCTTTATGAGCCACGATGACTCAGTGGTTAGGACACTGAACTGTCATTGTGAAGAACTGGAGTTCGATCACCAGTGGCGGCTTGAAGACCGCTCAGCTTCAGATCTGTGGGTGGAAGCTTGCTTGGAAAGTGAAAACGGCTTGTGCGCACATTGCCACAATCTTGCCGTTGGTCTCGAAATTACAGAGCCTTAACCTCCATGACTCCCCTGGCCCAGAACTGGCTGGGATGCTTTACTCTTATACTACCTTTATATTGCTAATAGAATTTATAGTGAGGGTCGAAGAGGTGCTCGCTGCCCAAAACCAATATTTTTGTTTTTAATTTCCTATCCTATATCCTATATTTTTAATTTCCTATCTTATATCCTATACTTTTAATTTCGTATCCTATATTTTTAATTTCCTATCCTATATCCTATACTTTTAATTTCCTATCCTATATCCTATACTTTTAATTTCCTAACCTATATCCTATACTTTTAATTTCCTATCCTATATCCTATACTTTTAATTTCCTAACCTCTATCCTATACTTTTAATTTCCTATCCTATATCCGATATTTTTAATTTCCTATCCTATATTTTTAATTTCAATTTTTTATTTATTTATAAATTTGTTTTTATCTTTGCAGGAAAACTTCTGCTATTTGAGGAGAAAAACATGAAGACAAATGTTTTAATCCTACACCAGACATTTTTTCCTTGACAGTCAATTTTCGACGAACATCCGTATTTCAAAAATATTGAAAGTGACAGTACTTCCTGATGCAACATCTGAAGTATGGAACGTTGTTCACATCCTTTAAAGATTCGAATTCCAATCAGGCTGCCCACTTAAAATTCAGCCAGTTTTTAATGGTTAAAAATAACCTAATTCTTGATTTAGAGAATTAATCAACGTGTGAAAGATTAATACAATGGATAACCAAGAATAATAAAAAAAAAACTGTGAGAATATGAAAAACGGTTTACTAACTCAGCGTTCTAATCAACTCTTAGTTAGTTAACAAACGCTAATCTAACTATATTCTTTACTAAAGCAATACTTAAAAGGACATTGTGTTAATCTGGTATTGAATTGTGATATTTTTGGTGGAATTTTCAAGCGTTAGACTCAAGCGTTAGACTAGAAAATCGTTACACTAGACAAGCGTTAGACTAGACTCAAGCGTTAGAATTTTCAAGCGTTAGACTAGAAAATAATGTCAGAGGTACCAATGACTCAGTTGCAAGCCGCGCCGGCGGAGGAGCCGAGAACGAGAAAGAAAAGCGCAATCCAAAGGATTCGACACAGGGTGTCGAAGAAGCGAGACCCAGCGGCAGTTTTAGCTTTTGAACAGCGCCTCCTGATGGCGGCTACTATAGCTGTCTTGGTGGCTGCCATTGTTTGGATAATCTCTATAACCACGGATTATTGGTTTCATGTGTTACCTGAAAAAGGATCGCCCATTTATATTAATAAAACAAACACGTACTTTGTTAGGAGTTATTCTGGCTTATGGAAGATTTGCAAATTCACACACCCTAATGGAACTCTGAGTGGAGAGCCAGTCAGTAAGTAGAATTTTGATTTGAAAATTAACACTGATTTTTAGATTACCTTTTTATACCCTGTATATACAAAGCTGGAAGAAAAAAAAACCTAACAAATATACGACTTTCTTAAAAACTTGATTTCTCAGGAACTATTGGCCGATTTAGCTCAAACTTTCTATTTCGCCATATAGCATTATATATTAATTAACTTAAATGCCTTCGATTATTTGATTTGTGGTGTACCCAATACGTTGCAGTTCAATACGTATCAGATCCTCATCTTCTCATCGAATAAATTCGAAGCTGAGAGATGCTGTCCAAAAATTAGTTTATTATCTTGTTACTCCATGAGTAACGTATCAGATATTAAGCTGATAAGAACATCGTTATAAAGCGATGATTCTTTAATATGATGAATACTTTTAGATGATTTATATACCTTACGATTTGAATTTTTTTCGACTATTATTAAATAAAATAATAAATAATTATTCTAAAATGTTTTGTGGGTGGTAAAAAGTACGTAAATTGTTTTTCGATTAATGTCCAATTCTCAACTGACCGGTGAGTTTTAAATTTTAAAAACACGTCAGATCAACGCATTTTTTATTACAAAACCATTCTATCTGATGTCAGAATAATAGAAATTGAATCAATGCAAACGGAAAGCCAATCTTAGAGAATAGAATCAGCACAAACTAAAAGCCAATCTTATAAATTAGAATCTATACTAACTGAAAGTCGCCAAATAGAATCAACACAAACCAAAAGTCGCCAAATAGAATCAACACAAACCAAAAGTCGCCAAATAGAATCAACACTAACTAGCTAAAAGCCAATTTCAGTGGTTTAAAAGGTCACCACAAACAATATAATTACTGTAAAACTTCTCGGGAACGACCACTCTGCGTTCCACAATAAAATGGTTGTTGATGGAGGTTGGTCGTTCTTAGAGCATCAGAATTTATGAGAAATATATGTATATATAATGAAAAACAGTAAATTATTTAAAAATTTTTTTTTTCTGGGCTTAAATTTGCGACCATTTTACCGAATGTGACCATATTTTTCAGATTGCTGCTTTCCTGCCCATTTCATTTTGAGTAAGCATATTTCAACTGTATTCAAGAGTAACAGTAAACAGTGCGCATGCGTCGTCATTCCATACACTGCTGTGGCTACCGCTGCTGTTAGATAATTTTTTTAGAATACTTTTTTTCACTGTTATGTTTGTTATGCATTAAGTTGTTGAGTTTATTTTTGAGATAGGGGACCAGAGAGATCCCATAAATACTTCTTGAGTTGTGAATGAAAGAGAATTTCATCATTTGAACGATATTTTTGTTTTTATTGTTTTAATTAAGAATCAGAAATTCTAACCTACAGATCGTTTTCAATACTAATTCAGATGAATTTCACAAATAAAGAGGGTAAAAAAAATAAAATAGACAACAACCATTTTGACAATGGGCAACCAGTGATCGATCACAAAATTTTTTTTAAAACTTTTTTTATTTCTTATTTTAAAACACTTTCTTTAGTTTCAAAATATATTAAGATGTTCTTTTTTGAAGAATAAATTTTATTTTCGAAGTTAGTAAATTTCATAAAGTACGCAAGTTAACTGAAAGAAAACATGAACGGGAGGGAGGTTAACCTATACTTTAACAAATTAGACTGGACGTTTATAAGTTTTACCCCAAAGAATTTTATTGAAAGGATTGAAAATAATTTAAGAAGTTTTGCTAAAAGTAACAATGCTTAGTAAAAATGAAAAAAAAAGGAATTCTAAGAAAACCTTATTTTCAAAACCCCGAAAACGAACATCACCTTGTTTATCCTTTAATCTTGTGTCGAGATTGTTGTTTCCAATTTAAACAACAAGTAAAAGTAAAAAAANAAAAAAAAAAAAAAAAAAAAAAAAAAAAAAAAAAAAAAAAAAAAAGAAAACTGTAGAATGTGCACATCTCAGACATTCTTAATTCGTTTCTTATTTCTTTTCTTTACCATCGGAGCCAAAACAAAAAATAATAAATAAATAAAAAAATCAGTTGCCTCTGGAGTTTTTACAAGTTTTAAAGAAGAAAGGAGAATGCTATTTCACTCAAAATTGCTTTTAGAAGTGAATTTCGTGTTTTTTTTTTTTCAGTTTAGATAATGCAGCCATTCAATTTATATTCTGGCGTAAAAGTTTTATGTTTTATCCTGAAATTATTTATATGGATATAAATTGAAATGTCTTTATCATTTTCCATGGTTTAATTTTCCTTTTTTTTTTCTGGTTGCGTTAGTAGGATAATATTTTAAAGTAGCCTTGTATTAACAAAAAAGCATTGTATGGTTTTAGTAGATGTAATCTGTTATCGTTTACAAGCAAATTTTTCCATTTAAGAGGGTTTTACTATTATAACAATTGAAATGGAAAAGAAATTGGAGAGATATTTTACAAGAATGTATAGTAAAGTTTTCTTATTTTTACTTATATATGTATGAAGAGATGGCGAATTAAACTTAGAAATGTATTTTATTTATTTGTACCACATTGTTCTTATTATAAAACAGGCAAAAATGGATAGTTTTTTTTTCTAAACAGATGTACGGAGGCTCATGGGATAAGGCGTTCGTCTTCCAACGCGGCAAATCGGGTTCGAATCCCAGTCGATACGAATTCTGCATCCGACTTGCACCGACCGCAGTGCTGATGTGAAATATCATCAGTGGTAGACGGATCATGGGTTAGAGTCTCTTGCCGTCAGGCTAACCGTGGGAGGTTCTCGTGGTCATCCTCTCCATGTAACGCAAATGCGGGTTAGCTCCATCAAAAAGTCCTCCACGAAGGCAAATTTCTCCCAATACTCGATCCAGGAGTTCCCTTGTCTTCTGGATTGGGTTCAAAATAAAAAGGCTACGGAGTTGAACATTAGTAGTAGTAAACCCATAAAATTGGGTCGGCTGTTCAACGACGGTTATAAAATAAAATTAAAATAAGCAGATATACTCAATGAATAAGAGTGAAAATTTTCTCGTTTATTTTTTAAGATAGGCAAATTTGTTTGATATTTAATTTACCTCACAATGGGTTTCGAAATTTAACTTACAATTAATCTTAATTTGTTTCGCCTTTACTCGCTAGCTCACGCAAATCCCTAAAGATTACTACGCAATCTTGAAATAATTGCTTACAATAGTACTAATCTTTTTTAGGCTTATTGCTATGAGTATAAAATTATGAGAGTAATTTTATGTGCTGATATTATAAATTTCATTAAAAATAAAGTTTCAAACCACAAATGGTATGAATTTTATTCAAATTTATAAGCTTTTCAGTGTCACAATGGTACACCGTCATCAGTAGGATAAATGATATTGATGGTAAAACAGAGATGATTTAATCAAGCAGAGGACATACTAAAGAGATAAAGACAGGCAAAAAGTGACAGAAAATAAAAAAAAAATTCAAAAAGTAATTTTTTTATGTTTTCCTAAATAAATATTTGGAAATGAATGAATAAATATTTGGAAATCATTAATAAACATTTGTAAATAAAATTCCAAAATGTTTGGATATCATTCACTTAATAAATTTTTAATTTTCTGTCAATTTAATATTTTACTTAACTGTATTTATCTCTTTTGTATGACCTCTGTCGGATTAAATGACATGAGTTCTACCATCTCTATAATTAATCTACCGATAAAGGTTATTTTTGTGTCACCGACGCACTTGTAAGTTTGAATAAAATGAAATTTATATGTGTGAAATTTTTAATGAAATTAATTTCAATGAGCCTGTTTTTGTAAAAAGAAAATCTGTTACATTATAGCCAATTGTAATAAAACAAAAAAAAATTTTTTTTAGAGTATTATTAAAAAATATACATACATAGATATATTTTGCTGCTTAAATAGAGAAAAATTGCAGATTCTTTCTGTCTTCAAAAAATCTAAAATGCTTAGAAATAAAATTTAAAAAAAATCTTTTTACAAAAAAGTTGCTAGTCTGCTAGTTACTATTTATAGCTGAATTAAAATATTTTTTTTTAATTTATTACCGATTGAGTTGTAAATAAAATTGTCTTTTTTCTTGAAACTTTTTTGTCTGATGCAATTCAAAGTAATAAATACTTTATTACGATTTCTATTACTGATAACCTTTTTGTATGAACCATAGTTTCAAATTTAAAAGTTAAATAAGTTTTAATAATAATAAAAAATTTGACACTATATTTTAAGTAGTTAGTAAAGATTATTCTTTACGGGTTTATATAAATTTATAAATACAGTGCTGTAAAATGTATTTGAAAATTCTGTACAAATGCAGTAAAATGCTCATAAAGTTTACACAATTTCTCGAATTGGGTACATTTTAATAGTATTCGAAAAAGTAAGAAATAAGAAATGCTAAAAAAAATTTCTATAATAATTGTAGAAAAAAAATTGAAGACTTCAGAGAACTTACGAAATTCTGCATGAAACCTGTAAAATCACTGACGGCCAAATAAAGGTTTCATAAAGAAAACAAATTCTGTAGAAAACCTTTGAAAAATTTTCGCAGTTAAAATGAACTTTAAAAATCAAATAGTCTTTAAATAACCTTATAGACGGACTTAGGAAAACTTTTCCCTTTAAAAAAAACCTTAAGCATTTCTTAAGAAACCTGCAAAAGGAGGATATTTTTTTAGGTTATCGTACAATATTTTTTACTTTGGAAACCTTAAAAGTATTAAACTGAATAAATATACCGGAAAATTTTCGAAAGAGTCTAGCGTGTCAGAAATGGAGGAAGTATTTGTTAAGAGTAGGATTTCTCAATTATCCTACGTCACGTGTGTCATTTAAGTTAGCAAATGTGTTTTGCTCACTTGTGACGTATCTAATACTATATCTATAAATTAAAAAATCGTAAGAAACCCTGCAGACCCGGTTTTGTGTGTTCAACTTTACGTTGCTTTTTGTTTCGCAGCGCAAATACTTAAAACTTGACTTAGAAATTTAAAATTACGAGACTGCGAAGAAAAATGTCACCATACGATGAAATAGTTTGAGAATTATTCACTGGTAAATTTTCTGTAAAAACTACGATGCGGACCGCTCTACAAACCGCTGAAATGAAACTACTGAGTTTAAATTTGATACGCTTGAACTTAACGTGAGCTTTTTCGAAATTCCAAATTTTTTTTTTAAAGTCAATGAAATTTTAAGTTTTTTTCCTGTATTTTTAAAGTAAATTTTTTTAAATATTGACTGCTACTAGTAGTTGTAGAAAATGTTTTTTTTTCTTTCTCGAAATTTTGAGCTTGAGATTGTCAGAAGTTTCAAAAAATACATAAAAAAAGGAAGAAAAGATAGGCAGATGTTGTCAGGTATAAATTTTAATATTTATATTAAAATTTTTAAAATAAA